CTGCTCACATGGACGGGGTGTGCCGCTTCCAGCTTTCCGAGGGAGATTTGGGGATAGCACGGCGAGAACCCGGGCCCCGACGAGCATGACCATGATGTCGTAAACAGGCTGCTTTTTCTAGGGCCAGCAAAGGTGATTGTAGAGCTAAGCCAGAGCCACCAGAGAATGAGAGAACAGCGGCAGAGCAGCGCGTCTGCTAACGCTATCTGCTCTGCCTGGGCCCCTCGGAGGGCAGCCGGGCGGCAGATGCCTGATGCCCTGATCTCGCACTTTCTAGGATCCCTTTTCGGGAATTAGGGGGCAATGGAAATTGGGTTATCTGTCGTGTTTGCAGGCTTGTCTGGATATCTGCACATCAAGAGAATAAGTTGGATTTGCAAATTCGCTACTACTCCAAGCTTCGTCAGGAGAAATGGACTACTCTGATGAGTCTGATCATTTGAAGAACTGTTAGATGATCATTCACCTTTCCTCTAGTACTACATGATTAATAGCTGGGCGTTGGTAAATGTGCATTCACAGTTCATTCACAGCTGAATTGATCATCCCATCAGAGAAAGATGAAAAGGAAATGGAAAAGCACTATCATTTCATTTTTCGTCACCCCTCTAATATAAAGACGAGGCACGAGAACTCATCATGAACTCAATGCAATGCAATGCAATGGGAGAATCCTCTTGTTTTGCCCGCTTTGTTCCGCTCCGCTTTGCGCTTCCTTTCGTCCCCCGCTCCGAGCACCTCTCCCGGCGAAAAGCTCTCCTTTGTACCCATCTTTCAGCCTCCAAAAGCCTACCCGTCGAGGGCATCCATCCATCCACAGCTAGCCCCCCCAGCCCGTCCATGGCCACGACCACCGGTCCTCTGCTTCCTGGAAGCTTCTCCAATCCAGCCACGCACCACGGCGGCCCGCCTCCCGATGCGCCCCGCGGCTGCCCAATCCATCCCCAACCCCACTCCCCACACCCCCTGACTCCCTCCCGCACGGGCACGGCACGGCCATGGCCATGCCCATTCGGACACAGCTAGCTAGCTGATGATAGCTCCGCGCCTCCGCCCCCGCTTGCCGCTTTCCGGCCTGACAAAATCCCGCGCCCTTTCTGCAGGCGTACGTCGGCACTGAAAGAGAGGGGGAGCCGAGGAGGAGGACGGAAAAGCCGAAAGCTATCCCTTCCCTCCGCCGTCCCCGGTGGGTGGGCGAGCCCGCCTCCGAATCTTGGCATTTCTAGGGATTCTGTCATTCCGGTGCGCTGAGGCGCGCGCGCGGGCGGGTGGCGCCGCTTTACGGTCTTTTGCCGGCCGGGAGCGTGTCCGTGACGAGACCGACGGCCCCACCCCTGGAAGAAGCTTCCACGCTGCTTCCTCTGCTTTCCTGCGCCCCGCGCTATTTATAGCCGCCGTGGTCACTGCCACTGCCAGCGGTTTTAAGCTAACGGTGCAAGCCGTCGTCTCAGGTGAATTCGAGTGAGCCAACAGCCAAGTGGTCTCGAGTGAGTGAGCGCCCCGCGTTGGCTTGCACGTGGCCACCCATGGACCTGAAGAGGTCCCTGGACGTGGAGGAGGAGGTGGTGGACGGCGACGAAGACGAGCTCGCCGGCTGCCCGGACTCCAAGCGCCGCCGGACGTTCGTCAAGTGAGTGAGCTTTCCAAGCTGCTGCTGCATTTGCCGCGTGGGAGCTCTAGTTCTTGGCTTCTGACGCTTGTGTTCACCTCTGCCCTGCCCATTTGCAGTAGCTCGATGCAGGAGGCCATTGGCGCGCAGTACATGCAGAGGCATCTGCCCAAGCTGGAGCCATTTCTGCGCAGAGTCGTAAGCACTTCTCCTCGTAGCTATTTGCACACCATTGAGCTTCCTGCAGTGTCATCTGGCAGAATTCTGTTGTTCATTAGCGTTCGGAAATCAGGTGCAGGAGGAGGTGCATAATGTTCTTATCCGACACATCGATTCCGCAAACAGGTTAGCCTCTGCACACTTAAATGCTAAGCTGCTGCATTAGTATTTGACGTTCAGACTGCCTAGTCCTCGTGGACTACATGGCTACATGACATGCTAGTAGCAGCTAGTTTCTCAGAGCTATGGAAGGCTTACATGCTCCATATTGCCATACGTCTGTTTATTTTCAATGGCTAAGTCGAAACACTGTTCCGGCTGATTTGTTACGAGAGAAAAACACGGTTCCGGTTGAAAAAACAAGTTGAAAAAGACAGATTATACATCTGTTTATTTTCAACTCGCGCGAGTGCATTTTTTGACTCGAGTACTGGAGTTTACAGTTTTAGTTGTTGTAGAAGACGTCCTTCTCTAATTTGTTACTCATTATGCTGCTATGATTCCTCGAATAATTGCTTTTATTTGTTTCAGTAATTGCGCGATCAGTGCAGTGTTAGACTTTAACTTTTTAACTTCTACTTTTAATTCTACTTTACCCCACTGCCAATGCACCTTCTTTTTCGTTTTCATAAATCATGACTGAACTTCTGTTCTGCAATGTTCAGGCTCCCACTCCAACTAAAGACAACCAGCAAACGGTACAAGCTGCAGTTCCAGGGAAACCTGCCGCAGACGCTTTTCACAGGCAACAGGGTGGAGGCGGAGAACAAGCAGCCGCTCCGGCTAGTCCTGACCGACGCCGCCACCAACCAGACGGTCACCTCCGGGCCCTTGTCCTCGATGAAGGTCGAGCTCCTCGTCCTCGACGGCGACTTCAACGCCGACGAGCGGCTGGAGCACACCGAGAAGGAGTTCAGCGAGAGCGTCGTATTCGAGAGGGAAGGCAAGAGGCCGCTCTTGTCCGGCGAGGTGATCATCGTGCTCGAGAAGGGCACCGCCTCCATCCGCGACATCTCCTTCACGGATAACTCCAGCTGGATAAGGAGCCGCAAGTTCAGGCTTGGCGCGAGGATGTCCAGGGCTAGTTCCATAGAAGAACGGATGCAGGAAGCTGTGAGCAATCCGTTCCTAGTAAAGGATCACCGTGGAGAAGGTAAATTGCTCTACACTTTTGTTTTACTTGCCATGTTTTTGTGTTCATGAAACATCCATGCATGCTTGTATTTTTGAACTAGAAACTGATAAAAACTTTCGTGCTAAACTCAGTGTACAAGAAGCACCATCCACCTGCATTAGCCGACGACGTGTGGCGTCTGGAGAAGATCGGGAAAGACGGCGTATTCCACAAGAAGCTGGCTGACTTCGGAATCCACACTGTTCAAGACTTCCTCAGGAACTTGGTGATGGATCAGTACGGACTGCGCAGCGTAAGAAACTATCCCTGGCCTTGTTTAGATTCCAAGTTTTTTCGCTCTCTCTCCATCACATCAAATCTTTGGATATATACATGGAGTATTAAATGTACATAAAAAAATAACTAATTACACAGTTTGATTGTAAATTACGAGACGAATCTTTTAAGTCTAGTTAGGCCATGATTGAACAATAATTGTCAAATATACACGAAAGTGCTACAGTGTCAGATACTGATTCCCAACCATCATCTAAACAAGGCCCCTATATGACATGTATATGTATACACTCAGCAGTATTGATTCTGTTTCAGATATTCTGAACATTCTACTGCTGCACCGTGCGTGTTTCCAATTTCAGTTGCTTGGCAGCGGCATGTCGAAGAAGATGTGGGAATCGACGGTGGAGCACGCCCGGGAGTGCGTGCTGGACGACAAGCTCTACTCCTACTGCAGCGGGCACGGGATCGTGCTCCTGTTCAACTGCATCTACGAAGTCGTCGGCGTGATCGTCGGGAGCCACTGCTTCACCTTGAGCGCTCTCACTCCGACGCAGAAGGTAAACGGCTGAACCGAGCAGAAAGCAGGCACGAGCACGACGATCGCGTCACGAACGGCTCCTGATCGGACCTGTGCTTTGTTTGCAGGCGCTGGTGGTGAAGCTGCAGCAGGACGCGTACAAGTTCCCGGACCGCATAGCCGAGTTCAAGGTGCAGTCGCAGAGCGCCGCGGAGCAGCCACCGGCCGCGGTCCAGGCCCCGCCGGCGCCGTTGCCTGTGCCCGCGGCGCAGATGCTCGGCCTCCCACACGGTGTCGTCCAGCCTTCTGCAGCAGGCGCGCTGGCGAGCTCGCACGATAGCCTGCTGCTGAGCCCGCAGCTCCTCCAGCACCAGCACCAGCAGCCGCTGAGCGAGGCCCTGGAGGACGTGCTGCAGTCGGCCAGCGCGGCGCACCAGCTCAACGCCGCCGAGCCGTGGTTCCCTTCGTTTGGAGCGGGCGGGTTCGACGCGAGGGACCCGTTCGACGTGCAGTTCAGCGGGTCGCAGCCGTGCGGGCTGCTGCTCTCCAGCACCGTCGCCAGGTTGTGAGAGAGGCCAACGGCCCAGCGTTTCATCAGGATGCGTCGTCTCGCCGGACACGCCGTCTTCCATGTGGCCCCGGCCCGTTGCGTCGCGCAGAACGAGAGGACCAGGGCAACCAGTGCCGGCGTTTCGATTGGACGCCGAGTTCTGCAGCTGCAGCGCAGCATGCATGGGTCGGGTCGGTGCACTCTGACTGATTGTCTGTCTGCTAACAGTCACAGGTCGTTGCTGTTTGCCTGTTTGTGTGAGGATGCCAGGAGGAAAGGCAAAGCTGATGCAGAGAAGATAGTAATAACTAGTAGTGCAACTGGTGGTAGGATCATATGTCATCTTTTGTCATTTTGGGATGTAAACATGAGTGATGAGTAGTGAGAATAGCACAGTTATGGGGCGTTCGACCGTTCACCAGAGTCTCTTCCCATGTCTGTAAAAGCATAAAACGGGTGCTTTGTTGTTTTCCTTTTCTTTTACGTGTTCATCGCAAGATATTGTACGTAGTGCTTAGGCATTACTTCTCTTCGGTTTCTGCAACCGTGTTACAAGCTCGTGCGCGTCAACTACAGTGAAATGAATGGCTCCCATTCCCCCAAAGTCCCAACTGGCCAACTCCCAATAGGGTAGATCATACATCCTCTATTCCTCTAACATGGAAAGGGGGCCTGTCCGGATATCTGGCCATCAGCTACGAGGAAATCGTTCAGCAGTTCGGTTATTCAGGCCAAGGTAGCTGGCGTGAATGATGAGTTCCAAGTTGTCCCAACGTTTCCAGAACCACACTAAAATGGTGGACCTATTGCGTCCTACAAATGTGTTCAATCTTGTACTTAACACATTTGACAGTTGTACGACCGTTAGCTGAAGGACGGTTGCAGGAAGGAAAAATTCAGAAGAGGCCAGCTTGTCAGCATTCATGGCACCCAACTTAACAGGAAACCAGTACTTCGTTCCTACAGGTATATACCCCAGTTGCAACAATATGATCGCGGACAGGACGACAAATACAAGGAAATCCAGTCCAGTAAAAAAAATACCAAATACTGTCCATAGAATCGATTAGGGTTAGGATAGAATCAAACATATGGGTCTTCAGCTCCATACAAAATACATTCCAACGCAGCAATGAGGAGCCGCACCATCGTTCTATAAAACATTGTTAAGCTACTCACTTCCCTTTACATGCTACGGGTTCACAATTTAAACTACAGCTTACAAGTTCTGTCAGCTATCTTCTCAGAGCAAATGAAAGTTTGATAGGCGCTGTCAATAGAAATAAGGCTTGTTAGTACCCTGATTTTTTTCAGATCAGGCTGGAGTGCGGTTAGTTTCACCGAACAATACTTCCATCAAACAACAAACGGTTTATTCTTCTCTTTTTACAAGGAGCAGAAAACCGAAATTGGAGACTACTTTGCAAGTTTGCATGGACAGGACCCAGCGATTCCTATCAGTACTTTCACCTGCATGTTGTCGCGCGATTCGATCTTTTACCTTCCATCGCATCCTTCTTTTTCCTACAGTCTGAGCAAAGGTATGGACCACCCCATGGTGTTGATGGGGCTGAGCAGCAGCCACCTACATTGTCCGTCATTAAACCTTCGAATGGCTCTTGGTCCACTTGGCAGATTGCGCAGCGAAATGGGGGCAGATTTGCTTTTGATGGGAAATTTCTACCCAACCTGCGAAAGGCGTACAATACAAGTTAAGGCATATCTGAACAGTCTCAAATGGGCAGACAGAAAAGTAACAACAGGGTGTCCTTCCTATTAAAAAAAACAGAACATCAACTGGGATCTCCAACAGCCAAATAGGTGAAGTGAATCATAAGACAGTCTTGTGATGGTTATATATATATGCGTTTATTAACCTAAATGAAATGCTCCTAGTAGTAAAAAAGTTCTTCAATTCTAGCGCAAACTGCTCCCAGGAACCTCAACCTTCTACTGATAAAACAAGACGACCAATTTAGTAGGAATGATGCCATCCAATCAAGCATTCTAGTGAATTTAAGCAAATGGACTCTTGCAGCATATAACCTGATCTCTAAGACCACATATTACAAGAAGCTAAGTGTATATTAGCAAAACTAATATTCTTTTTGCATCACAGAAGTTTGTTTTGGAACTGGAAGAAGCAAATGTCACACATGCTTTATCCAGATGTGAATTTACAAGTAAAATCCTCGTTAACCGCATCCAGAATGTGATTAACAATCTATGAGTACATCACTTCACTCTTTTTTTTCCTGCTCTACATTTTTAATCCTAAACAAGAAAGGCAGCCTATATATTCAAGCGATGCAACATGTCACCAACAATGTTTCGAAAGTTGATTCCTACCAAGGCCTAGAAATAGAACAAAGGAGCATGAACATGGCAATGCCATGAAAGAACAGGTTGTGCCAGTGTGAGAAGTGAGAACATAGAATGGAATTCGAAAAATACTAAAACTGGAACATCCAGCTATACCTAACCAAGAGAGAATGGGCAAACTAGGTTACTTAGTAGTTTCTACTGCACTGATTCCTAAATCCAGATGTGAGCCATCCCTCCACTAACAATTCTTTTTATCTCAAAAGCACCAAACACAAGGCATGAGTGAGACAAAAACATGCAACATATAATTTGTGAAGCATTTCTGCATTGTTACTATGCACGGCAAACAGAGTATCGAAAATGTATCAATGAACAAAGAAGAATTCGCATACGCTAAAAAGCTTCATGACCAAGAATGTGCATACTACTACAAAGGGAGTTGAGGAACACATGAACTGCAAGAGAAAATAAGAACATGCCTTTCTTCCAACATTGCAGACCCCTCCTCAAATATTTCTTCCACAGAGCCCAAAGAAGCAGATTTGCTGAGCTTTCCAACAGAACTATGAGACCTTCTACCAAAAATAAGAGACCTCAACTTGTTCTGATTTTTCTTTGGAGATAATGCTGGTGGTGTTGAACAATGATCAGATGGGATGATGTCGACAACCACACATGTTGTGTCATCTTTCAACCCACTTGTCTTCAGAGCTTGCTGGACAAGCAAGATGGATACTAATTAGACGATTGAGATAATCAAGCATATCATGCAAAGTACAGGATGATGCAATAGCCCAGCCGCATTTATAATCACCTTAACAACAAGTTTCGCAGCCAGTTCTGCAGGCAATCCCCGGCACGCCTGAGCAGCAATCTCGGAGGACAGAGCATCCCATATCCCATCTGATGCAATTATTAGTCTTCCACCAGTGTTTGGGAGCTACAATTATCAAAAGCAAACCACATGTTAACAAAGGATATGCTAAAAAGAGCTAAATTCTTTTCTTTTGATCAAAACTCATGATTTCACCTTCACTTGCTTGACATGTGGAATCGGTACGATGAACTCGCCGACATCAGTATCCCCAATGGACCTTGAAAGGCACAATCCACCCGGCCAGCATCGGAGAGGACCGACCTAAAAAAAAGGGGTAAATTAATAAATAAAATCACATCCAGAAATGCTTCCAAAGCATAGAGCAGATATTGTATCCTAGAATTCTTCTGCATCAAAATGACTGAGCAGTGAGCATTACCTCCTGTCCACCACAGAGATTAAGTCGGCTGACCTCCCCTCCGCTCGCCGTGACGCGCTCACGCTCCTCTGCATTCTCCTCTAGCCGGTGATCCACAGTCAGCAATGAGACCTCGCCTCCCTGTGTATCCAGAATGCACCTAGAGTCTCCCACCGACGCCACAGTGACCGTGAACCCATCAACGACAACAAGTGTCGCCGTTGTTCCTGACGTCTCACCTGCACCAGTTCCCAGAGTTAGCATCTTTTCAGCCAGGTTCGCCCAGATTTCCAACGGCATTGCAAGGATGCCAAGGATCACTCGGTGTCGGTGAGTTGGTGTCATCTCACCCTTGCGCTGGAAGTCAATGTCTGTCTTGACGAATCCTGCGACGAGCGCGCGCGGCAGCGCCTGTAGCCAGTCCTCGCGGCAGATGCCCTGCGGCACGGCGCTCATCACGTGCTCCAGCAATTTCTCCTTGCTGAACACCGCCGCCGACACGCCATTGTGGCCGTCGAATACCTGCGAGCCCCAGATCCGTCAAACCAAAAAGAACAGGCATCACATCACCGAGCGGAATTCCTCACCGAACCCAAACGAGACAAAAAAAAACCTCTTTAAGGGGGAAAAAAGCGGGCCGTACAGCGAAGACGGAGAAAGAGGAGGAAGGGTCTCCGGGGACGCGGAGGCAGTCGGGCTTGACGAGGAAGTAGTCCTCCCCGCGCTTGGCGAAGCCGGAGTGGCCGTAGCGCACGTGCGGGCGCTCGGTGCCGTCGCCGCGGAGCTCGCGGCCGATCAGAGTGGCCAGGGGCAGCGCCGGGGAAAGATTCCCCTCGCTGGCGGCGAGCGCCATCGCAGCCTCTCGCCGCGGTCCTACAGAAGAAGCGCCCTTCCAAGAACCGGCCGAAACGGCGCCATTTTCCGCGCGGAAAATGCTCAGGTCAGAGGTCACGGCGGGGAAAACGACGAGCGGGATCTGGGATCACGCGAATCGCACTCGGATTTGGAGGCAATGGTGACGCAATGCCGTCGGCGGCGCGCTTGGATTTGGGGAATTTGGCGAGGGCCGTGAACAGAGAGACGGCAAAAGGGGACGAGGGCCATGTTTAGTTTCCTCATTTTCCAAAATTTGATACTATGCAAAAAAAAAAAATTCCCGTCACATTAAACTTACGGTACATGCATATGCATAGAGTACTAAATATTGATAAAATCAAAAACTAATTGCACAGTTTGGTTGTACTTTGCGAGACAAACGTTTTAAGCCTAATTAGTCAACGATTGGACAATTATTACCAAATAAAAACTAAACGCGGCCGAGGTTTTTGGGAGATTTAACTTTTTACCGCGATTGGAGCCTACGGATACCACTTTTAACTATCCCCGATATATTTTCGCCAGCACAAAGACAAAACACCACTTTTGCTCGCGGCAAGCAGCCCCTCACGTCAGCATGAATCTAAGTTAACAACGCGCGTCAAATCTCACTCCTGCCCCTCCCTTTATCCAATCCCAACACAGCCAGCTCGACGAATCCGCGCTCATCCCTCTGGCTGCGGGGCCTCTGAAGTGGTTCGTCAAGGACGAGGCGTTCCACACCTCACTGCACACCTAGTGTGCCTCGGCGACTCCAACCACCGCGACGTGCAGGACCATCACGTGCACGCGTAGACCGTCGAGCGGGCTGCGTTAGAGGGCCTGGACCCGCGCGAAGCGTGCGTCCCTCAAGCTCTACGAGATGGCATCGCTCGAAGGCAAGGACGCGGACACACGGTAAGCATGGCGGGCGTTCCCTACCCGCGCCTCGCCACGTGCACGCTCCTGTACATGTCCGCCGTCTCCAAGCTGTAGAAGCAGGACCTTGACGTTGGTGCCGTAGTGGTCGCAGAGCACGATCTTGCCGGACACCTTCTCAGGGATGAGACTGCAGAGCATGATGTGAGCACCCAGCGCGATGCTGTCGCGGTAATACTCCGTCCTGTCGCCGCCGAGGGAGAGGGAGAGCACGTCCACCCCGTTAGTCACAACGACTTCCGTGGCCTTGAGGATGTCGGAGCTGAAGCACCCGCTGACCTTGTACACATTTGTACGAGCAGCGTTGAAAGCTCTAGTTTGGTTTTTGTGAATTGATGAAACCTTAAGTACTAACCTAGTTTATCTAGTGGTCATGATATAGGTAGCACACTCCAAGTGATGAACCAAATAAAGATCATAACATGATGATGGTGATGTCATGGTGATGATCAAGTGCTCGGACTTGGAAAGAAGAAAGAGAAAAATAAAAAGCTCAAGGCAAAGGTATAAATTGTAGGAGCCGTTTTGTTTTGGTGATCAAGACACTTAGTGAGTGTGATCACATTAAGGATCGATAGACGTACTATTAAGAGAGGTGAAACTCGTATCGGAATGCGGTTATCAAAGTGCCACTAGATGCTCTAACTCATTGCATATGCATTTAGGATCTAGTGGACTGCTAACACCCTTGAAAATGTTTGTGAAAATATGCTAACACATGTGCACAAGATGATACACTTAGTGGTTGGCACATTTAATAAGGGTGGTGAAGTTTAGGTGCAAGGGTAAGAAACTCCACCGGCGGAGTGTCCGCCCGTAGAGTGCGGACAGTCCGACGGTGCCACCGACGCCCTAGACAGAAAAGATGGAGGTCACTGTGAGTGACCGGACGCTGGCCTCGGTTGAACCAGAGCGTCCAGTCAGTGGCAACAGAGGACGTGCGTTTCGGTCTCATGACCGAACGCTGGGTCGCTCAGCGACCGGACGCTGGCAGGGTGCGTCCGGTCAATGCTGACGTACGCTAACGTAGGGCGTACAGAGGTAACATTGTGTGACCGGACGCTGGCTGTGTCCAGTCAAGCATGACCGGACGCGTCTGGTCGGGAAAAATCGTGTTTGGAACCTTACTGGAAACGACCGGACGCTAAGGTCCAGCGTCCGGTCACTTTCTAATTGACACGTCCGGTCAACAGACAACCGTTGAAATCTGACGAACTGTATTTGAAGCAGGGGACACGTGACGTGAATCACATGACCGGACGCTGAGGGCCAGCGTCCGGTCGATCGGACCGGAGCGTCCGGTCACCCCGCGCTGCGCCCAGTGAAGGGGTACAACGGCTCTATTTCATGGGGGCTTCTATTTAAGCCCCATGGCTGGCTTAAGCTCACTCTCTTGGCCATTTGCATTGACATAGCAACCTTGTGAGCTTAGCCAAAGCCCTCCCACTCATTTCCATCATAGATTAAACATCTTTGTGAGATTGGGAGAGAATCCAAGTGCATTGCTTGAGTGTTTGCATCTAGAGGCACTTGGTGTTCGTGTTTCGCTGCGGATTTCGCTTGTTACTCTTGGTGGTTGCCGCCACCTAGACGCCTTGGAGCAGCAAGGATCGTCGAGCGGAGGGTGGTGATTGTCTCTGGCTCCGATCGTGGTGATTGTGAGGGGTTCTTGACCTTTCCCCGACGGAGAGCCAAAAGGTACTCTAGTGGATTGCTCGTGGCTTGTGTGATCCTCATCTTGTGTTGGTTGTGCGGCACCCTATTGAGGGTTTGGCGTGTGAGGCCAATTAGTGCGTGAACCTCCAAGTGAGTGAATCGCCACAACGAGGACTAGCTTGCCGGCAAGCAAGCGAACCTCGGTAAAAATCATTGTGTTCATCATATTGATTCCGAGGTGATTGGTCTTTATTGTTATCCTCACTTGTGATTGATTGGTTCATAAATCTACACGGCGGTATAACCTTCTTGCCTACTCCTTACCTTACCGCAAACTAGTTATCAAGATCTTTAGTGTAGCTAGTTGTGAGAGCTTATTTGTTTGGTTGGTGTGGCTCTTTAGTTAGCCTTTGAGAGCACACTAACATAGGGTAGTGTTATAGCTATTGTGTGATTAGATACTATTGAAACTAGAATTACGGTAGGCGACTTGTATTTTAAGTAGGCTAGCGCAACACTTGCTTCGTCTCATAATTGTCTAACCATTTGGTTAAGTGTTGTTGTAGAAATTTTATTAGGCTATTCACCCCCCTCTAGCCATTAGGACCTTTCAAGCGTACCCGAGCAGGTCCATGCCCTGGACGGCGCCGCCGGCCGCGGTGATCGACGAGTGTTCCTCGAACAGGAACCAGTGGCTGCGTGGTTGCCGGCGGCGGCCTCGAACAGCAGCTGCCGCAACGAGGCCGGCGAGGTATGCGGCGAGCTGGACACTAACGACAAAGCCGTGGACGACGAAGCTGACGAACGACAAGGAGCTCCCACGCCGCGCGCACGTAGACGCTGGTTGCTGGATTCCGTAACGGAGGTGATCGACGCGGCGTTGCTGGAGCGGCTGCACGCATGCCAGCTGGGCCGGAACCACGCGTTGGTCGGGGAAGCTGACGCCATGCACGAGGCCATTGAGCTGGAGCTCGACGCGCCGCCATCCTCGCCCTCACCCATGGTCGGCATCAGGAGGGTGACGGAGCTAGCCATGGAGCTGTGCGCGGATGGGCGTCGCCATGGTGGCGCGGCGGCTGTGGCGCGTGTCCGCGGCCGCCGACGCGTGCGCCGTGCGCGGGCTGGCGACCGTGGGCGGCCGGGCCACATCCACCGACAGCAGGTTGATTTACGGCAACACCTTCTGCTCCCTTGCTCTGTTGCTTGCTATTTTTGGTGTGGCCAGCTGCATCTCTTCTGCTTCTTTGGTCCACGGTCACGATGGTTTACTTGAGCATGGCAGGTAGCTTGATTGATGAATCACGGCAATGCGACACAGGGTGAGGGAGAGCAGGGCACGACGAATCCTGCTTGAAGCAAAGCAGGGCCTACTGCAAGTGGGAGCGCGCGGCGCTCACCTGAGAGTGTTCGACTAAATGCGCGCCATGTGGGTGGGCGGGAGAGGGTGGAAAGGAGAGGGCGGGGGTAGGAGGGACATTTCACACGTCCCTGTTGACTCGGATCCGTGCTGGCATGAGAAGCTGGCGTGCCACGCGAGCAAATATGGTATTTTCGTATGACTTTTCTCTCTCTGCTAGCGAAAATGTATTGGCATCTGTTAATGTGCTATCTGAGACGGTGTCAATCGCTATAATGGTAAAAGTTAAATCTCCCGAGGATTTTAATCAGCTAATCACATAGTTAGAAAGTGCAGGATTTTAGCGTAAAATAGGGTGGTTCGTGCAAAATCTCCTACCAGTGTGGTCACTGGTCAGCCCCAGCCAACAGGATAACTGGTGGTCAATGGTGGTTTACAGCCTTTCACTGTGTTCAGCTGGTATAGTTCTGGTTTGTATCAGCTTATTATATCTCACAGAATACCATTCAATCGTCGAGAACCAGCCAAAATCTACTGTTCACCGGACCATCCGAGCGAGCTTTTTTTTTTTTTTTTTTTGCGAGAATAGTTTACATCTCTCGGGATTAAGAAACCGTGTCTACACTGGATTTTGTTGCTGTCGTCTCGTGGTCACCGACCACCCGTCCACCCCTGCCAGGCCCGCTGGAAACGCAGGGAACGGCCGTTCCCCCGCTAGCCAGGCTTGGCTACGCAGTCGTATGGCGTCTCCTCACCTCCCCTCGCGTTCACCTTCGGCGTGCGGGATGCCCGCCGCGCCGGCTGCGTGCGGGATGCCCGCCGCGCTGGCTTCCCGGCTTGGCCGTCCTCCACTTCCATCTGCTCGCCGGACGGCCTCCGTGCCTGCCCCCACGGTCTGCTCTCCCTTCCGTCGCTTGAAGTCCCCTGCTCCCATGGCCGCCACGGGCTTCAGCTTCCGCTCCCTCCTGCATCTTTCCCTCCTGTTCCTCTCCGTCCTTGGTGCCTTCGCGCGCAACGAGGAGGACACCGCACACCCACCTGCGAACGTGCCCGTGCCCGTGGAGATTGCCGCCATGGTCAACCTCCAAGGTGAGGATTTGAGCTTTCCGTGCCTTTTTCCCTTGGTTTCTTGGGAAAGGATAGCTTGGTTGGCTTTTCTTGGGTTCGTTACTGCATTTTGAGATTGCTTAAATTTCGTTTGGGGGGTTTCCGCACTTGACATTTGGAGCTCGTTTCTATTTCGGATCTGAACATTGGGGAGGAAAAATGCAGAAATCGTTGGTCAAATTACAGAAATAGTTTTAACTTAAACTTCGAACCAAAGTGGCACTGTTTGTGTGTGCATAATACTGATGATGTTGGATTTCTTGCTTCACCGTTCTTGATTGATTTCAGTGGCGATGTCGGATTACCTGTGTAGTACGGTCTATGCTTGCAGGGAGCCGGTGATCTTACCTTCACAAGTACAAGGTGAACATATCCAAGCTAACCAACCAACCAAACAAGATCTAGGCAATCCAGGCTTTAGCCAAGATGAACAAACCAAACAACAGGCTCTTGTACTGTGGGAGCTGGGTTTGAGCTGCCCTGGCTTAACTCGCTAGCCAGGCCAGGTCTGGAACGAGAACCAAACACACCTGGTGAATACGAAAGGACGACGAAGAAATTGTGGTTTTATTATTGGAGATATGCTCCCAATGATATCCATTATGACATTTATTAGTAATTAAGGTGCAACTCACAAGTTCGTACGGTAATAAATAACCAGATTGAGGCTGTGTTTAGTTCCCAAAAAGTTTCCTACAAAGTGCTACAGCAGTCATCACATCGAATCTTATAATACGTGCATAGAGCATTAAATGTAGACGAAAAAAACTAATTACACAGTTTGGTTGGAAATCGCGAGACGAACGTTTTGAGTCTAATTAGTCCATGATTGAATATTAATTGTCAAATAAAAACGAAAGTGCTACAGTAGTCAAATTCTTAAATTTCGTGAACTAAACACAGCCCGAAGAACTTTATTTAATTTGTAAGGCAAAACGCAGACGACTCAGAACTTTGTGAGATACTGTAAACCCCACTGCCTGTGCTGGCATGATAACTTTGCACGACAACACAGAGTGCATGAGTAGCAGCGTGCTAAGGCGGCACACGCTGGACCTGGAGTAGAACAATTTTCTTTTTAAAACAGGATAACATACGCCCTTTGAGTCTTTAATTGTTGAAGCTAGACAAATTTAGTCTTCTTTTCTTCTTTTTTTAAAATAAAATCTGGTATGACCTCCTAAAACTCAGTTAATTTATTTTAAATTTAAAAAATATTAAACTTGTACTAATTTTCTTCTAAAAATGTTATATATTCAAGAGTACCCTATTTAGAACTATTTAGATTTTGTTTGTTTTAAATAAATAGTGAACATGACTACTACCAATATATGTGGAACCTTCACAATTAAAGGAGTTACCCAAGAGGTCATCCGTCTCTGACTGTTCCCATTCTCTTCGCTAGGAAAAGCGAAGCAATGGTGGTACTCCATCCGTGAAGCTGTGAACACTTGAAAAAGTGTTCCAATGCGTTTCTTGTCAAGTTCTTTCCAATGGGTAAGACTAATACTCTTTGCAATAAAATATCTAGTTTTCAACAACTTGCAGATGAGTTAATTCCCTAATTCCCGAGGCATATCTTAGCATGTCCACGCCATGGGATGGAAGACTGACTCTTGATCTAGAACTTCTATCATGGGCTAACCCATATGGCTCGTGATCATTTGGACGCTGCTACTAGAGGAGCATTCTTCTCACTAAATGAGAATGAAGCCAAAGCGTTGATAGAGAAGATGGTCTCAACCAATGGTGGAGTGATGAGCGACTCCAACCCCGTAAGCAAGGTATGCATACTATTAAAGAAGCTGACAAGCTTGCAGCCAAGATGGACCTTCTCATGAAGAGAATAGAAGATTGTGAGAAGATGAGCGCTCAAGAAGCCGTACAAGCCATGGATGCTCGCATTACTTATGAAGCCTATGGTGAGACTGGACATTCACATGACTTGCAAGTTTAGAGACCGAGATGATACAAGAGAGCATGTTTGAGGATCTAGATGAAACGATTTGCGAGTTTAGGGACTGGGATGACATATCCAAACAAGTTTGAGGACATAAATAGACGATTCGCGAGTTCAGGATACGGCCGAATAAGTTTAAGGGCTACTTGTGACTACTTGTGGACTTTACTCTATTTTAAAATTGTCTTACCGATGAGCATATAATAACTATCCAGAACATATGCAGAGAAATCTAAAATCACCACATGGAGGGGACGAGAAGTCAAAGATTGGGCCATCTATTTCGTTATTTCAAGTAGCGATTTTAATAATCGAAAATTAAACAAGTGACATTTGGATATTTTTTGTTTCATTTGGCAAGAGAGCTATATTTTCGCTAAATTTTGATTCAGACAACTATTTTGGCAAAAGGAAAATACTTCTTAAAAAAAACAGTACCATCCACGAGTAGCTAGGACAATCCGGCCCATCCATGTTAACGACCAGGCCATGGTTATTGGTTAGTAATACTACTTCTTAATGGGCCAACATTTCATCTGCTCATGTTTAGTTGGCCCGGCTAGATTTGAGAGCATTCGTCTCAACGGTTTGGCTTCTCTCTGTGATTTTTTTCCAAGAACGTCCGGTGTGCGCGTGTTTAGCTTCTGTTTTCCGAGCAGACGTTATATGCGAGCCCAGTTACCGAGTTACGTATTCATCACTATGACACTGTCCGAAATTATGCAAGTTCAGCAGCAAATATAGTTCCTGACAAATTTCCACTCATAAATGCATGAGACTACGTGCAAGTTTACAGTGAAGCTCGAAAACAACCGCCAGAGTCCGGAGGTGAGTATCCCCCAGCAGGTGAACAGAAAATTAGCAGGCACCAGAAGTCTACGGCAATGCCATATTTCAGGTCACTCTGCATTACGGTCAGTAACGCAAAAAAAAAAAAAAAATGCAAATGAGGTTGTTGGCTGTTTGTCAGTAGCTGAAAACAAACCTATGTCACCAAATGCTGTTATCATAACTTCATTCGTTCATGGTAGGGTGGACCATGGGAATCGCATGTTGATTGAAAAGAATTGCAGCAAAAGCAAAAGCCACTCCATAGGATGTAGCAAGAATTGAGGCACATTACAAAAGAGCCTTGATCAAAAGATAAAATTAAAGCCTTCGAGTATAGAAATTATTAGGCACCAGTTTTTGATCAATCATTTCCTTTCTTTTCATTATATATTTATATTATGAACAAGATACAAAGAATTAGCAAGAACTCAACATAGCCTGATAGGCCAATAAGAAAAAAAAAGGTTAATGGCTTCACACACCAGTTGCTGAGATCACAACTCACCACACTGACACAATCAATTGGGTTTATTGTCACTCATTGCTGTACTCGAGAACAACCTCACAATCTCTCGTGACAAACACCGAGAAAAAAAAAAGGCAAAAACTGCACGCGATCATTGTAAGTCCCTACTTTGCACCTGCTTGTCTTCCATTTGATGAAAGCCTTCTGCTATCGCTTCTGCTTAAAGGCTGCCTAACAGATCTGTTCGAACCGTTTGCAACTTTTCTTGACGCTGATGGTATTTGAGAATGAATTGGTGTCCTGATGTACATAGAACAAATAATTAGTCTTCAAGTCAAAGAAGCGGTTAATATTTTGCAACAGTCTAGCTTAGCCTGTTACTTGATGTTTCACTTTTCTGAAACATCTCAAAATTAAGGGATCGTATAAGAACAGAAGTCTTTTAGGCAAATAAAACGCACATAGTAGTGTATGTTTCCATACTAATAGAGTTTCAGCCATACAGTAAACATGTGATTAGTTAACCTCCGCAAATAACATTGTTAGTAGTTGAAATTGCTGTGAACCACATGTATGAATGGAATGTTTCACTGCTTTTAATTCAAATTCTTTTATAACGCAATTCAAATTAAGCAAAAGCGAAGCTGTATATTCCAATATCCAAACTTAAGATATTGTGCTAATGTGCTGCCCATGCAAAATTTGGAAATCATAATTCAGAGTGCACTGTATTCGTTATCCCTGGTGCCAAAAGAAAAAGGTAATTCACAAATTTATTTGCTGCTACATAGATGTTTTAATGTCAAAGACAGTTACCTGGCATCTGAACCATCTCTAAGCTTTATTTGTGGTTTCTTAACCTTTGAACCGCTGTCACTAATTGAGTTATTCATGCTTTGGACATTGTGCTGCCATAGAGCATCTGATTCTGAGGAATCACTTGTTGCCATGTCAATATCATCAGAATCATCAGTATTTGTAGAGTAGAATCGAGGCCTTTGTTGTTCATACTCATGGTCATCCTTTTGTCTTGTGTTATTCCTCTGGTACTGCTTCTCCCTCATACCTGAATGATATCTTTGGTAAAAGAAGTCAGGTAAAGCTGCATTGCCACCCTCCCAATCACAGACTGAATTATTGTTGTTCACTACAACCTTATCTATCCAGTCCCCACCAATTGCTTCTCTTTCATCTCCCATCTGAAAATTTACCCTCAAATTGCTATCTGGCCATGAAGGAGAATCATTTGCTGTTAATAAATCCTGGAGATCAAAGCTTGGTTTCTTTTGCCTCAGTGTAGGATTGGCTCTAGCCTGAAAAGGAAACAACTCATGGTTCATGATCATACAAAAATGTTGAAACAATTTGGATTGTGGAGGTTACATTTTTTTAGATAATGTAAGGGTTACATGTAAGACACAATGGAGAACTTTAGATCATTGTTACCTCTATGTTTCCAACATCCTCCATTGGTTGTCTGAAGTTAGTTTGGCTAGACAGTAGATCACAGCTACCTTGTCGCCTATTTGAAAAACCAGGCGAAGGCGTCTTTATGTTAAATGCCTCAGAGTCACAACTCATGATTTGCTCCGATCCTAAATCTTTTGCAGCTAATGCTGATTTAAGTCGAGCAATCTAAGCATGAACAGAGAACATAAATATCTTGAATAGAGAAAGGGAAGTAAGAAATATGATAGCATAACATAACAGC